CTTCACAGCCCTCCCAGGAACCAGCCCCACTGACACCCTGAGCTCAAACTTGTAGCCTCCAGAACTGGGAGGCGATAAGTTTCAGTTGTTCAAGCCACTGGGTGTGTGTTTATGGCAACCCTAGGCACAAGGTGAAATGGGGCAGCAGGTGGATTCCCCACTCAGGACTGATAAGTCCTGGAAAATATGTAGTAGGACACAAACTTGACCGAATTTCTCTTCCAGAAGTTTACCAGAGTCTCATACCTCCACCCAAAAAGGTCATCTCCGATGTATTTTGACATTATGTCTACTAAAAAAAGAGGCTTAGCTTTACAACAGATTTGGCCAAGGTTCTTCTGTCAACAGAGAAACTTGGATTTTAAATATTCCCATTTTGTGTGTGTGGTGGGGGAGGGAGACTCAGGCATCCGTAACACCTTATAAATGACCAAAAACTCCTTGGCGGGGGCGGGGGGGGGAACCTTGGCAGAGATGTGGATTATCGACCTTCATAGGAACAGTTCTCTCAATGGGCAACAAATTCAAACTCCTGTCTGAGCAGGATGTGTCTGGTTCCTCAAGATTCACGGTGTGTGTGCATTTCTTTGGCTGAAAGCTGCAATCCTTAGTAGCTGCTACCTAAAAAAAAAATATTACCAATTTAATATCTCATGGAGCCAGCCATTTTGAACTGGCTGTCTTGATTTTTTTTTTTTAATGGAATGTCCGCTGCTTCCCTATTACAGTGAAAAACATAATTGGGAACAAATCTTTCATAAAATTAAACACACACCCACAATGTAAACTTTGAAGGCCTCAATCATGTTGGAGAGGCATTTCTCAAGATTTGTTACAAAGATCTTTCAACCCCATTTCCCATCCCTCAGCCTCCACCCATTTCACTCAAGGCACTAAAAATTGGCATTTACAAAGAAATTCCAGAAGCCTGAGCATTTTATTAACAAAGGGAAATCCCAACCTTCTTGGCCTCATTTCTCATGATGACAGCTTGTTTTTCCATGTGGAACCACGTATTGGTTGCTGCAAAATTTAAAGAGGTAAAGAAGCCACTTTCAAACTCTAGTCATAAAAGATATAAATAATGAGGATTTAAAACTGTGCTCATTTTATAAGCATAAAAGTCAAGCATATCCATTTTTAAAAACGAGAGTGAAAATTTATAGTGTTTTTATTAAAAGACTCAGCCATGCCACGGGCTCTCTCCTGGGCTCTTGAAGTATGACTGTTTTGCATGTCAAGGGCAAGTTTTTGAAATGGAGCTTCCCCACTGTTCTCTGTGGCTGGCTCCCCAGCATTACCCTCCCCTGCGCTCCCAACCAGTGTTCCAAATCCTCCAGGCCCAGGAAGAAGCTCCACATCTGTAAAGCTCCCCCAATTTCCCCCATTTCCGTTGACTCAACCCCTCTGAAAACTGATAGCTTTAATCATCCAGACCCTACAATTTAACAACTGGCTGTATCATCATTATGGAAGGCCCCCTTTACTCTCTGTATTATATATGGTTTGTGTTTTGCCTTGGTTATTTCCTGCATGTAATTTTTCTCCTCCCATCTTGGTTTGTGAGCTTTTTCAAGACAAGAATCATACCTCACATTTCTTCTCTATGCTCTCTAGTATCTAACCCAACTTTAAGGATGCCCAAAATAAAGTTATACATGTCAAATGAAAAACATCATTCACTGAAGAGCAAGTGTTTAGCTCCATAATTCTCTCTGGCCTCTGTGGGTTATTACAGGCTCCCAAGTATGCATGGGGATTAAAGCAACTGGACAATGACAGTATCTAACCACAGCCCAGAGAATTGGGCTGCACCCCCCTGTTATACTCACATAAACCTGCTCTTGACTTGGTAGCCATCTGAGTCAAGTGGTCCAGGAAGGACACTTGGATTAAATCTCTATCCGCATGATGATCCTGGAGTAGCATAGTGACCTGAAGGCTGTCCCCATGGGCCTCCTTTGGGTCACTCTTGTCCTTTCTCACTCCTGGGTTTTGCTCTCAATGGCCTCAAACTGATCTGGCTGCAGACCTCCCAGGAACAGGCTGGCTGAAATGCGATCATACCAGTGGGTCACCTGCCTTCTCTTTATGAAAGCATGAACATGATCTGCTGTCTCCCTTCTTTCCTACCTCCCAGAAATACAAAGAATCCTTTCTTCCCTCTGCTCCCTTCAGCCTCACACAAAGACAAGCAGGAAAATTTGATGGCTGATGGTTTAGGATCGTTATTTGAGAGAGACCACTCACTGCAGGTAAAGAAGATGCCAGTTCAGCTCATTTAACTAAATATAAACCTTTTAAAACTTGTTTTTCACATAATAAGTGATATGTATCTAAACTTACATTACCAAAAAATTCAAACCAAAAGACACACATTGAAAAGCAAGCCTACCTCCTCCACCCACCCCAGCTTCCCTCAGAGGCAGCAACCGTTACCAGATTATTTTGCCTTCCAGAGCATAGACACTTTCCAAACCCTATTTTTTATCAGGGGTTTCGGATTAAGAGAAAGGAATCAATATTTACCAAGCATCTCCTGAATGCCAGGCCCTAAGCTGTGTGTTTTATTTTTATAAGATTTTATTTATTTGACAGAGAGAGCGAGCGAGAGAGGGAACAAAAGCAGGGGGAATGGGAAAGGGAGAAGCAGGCTTCCTGCCTAGCAGGGAGCCCGATGATCTGGGGCTCGATCCCAGAACCCTGGGATAATGACCCGAGCCAAAGGCAGACGCTTAACGACTGAGCCACCCAGGCGCCCAGTAAGCTGTGTTTTACATACATCAGCACGTTTAACCTCCATGACAACTTCGTAAGGTTCATATGATTTTCTTCACTTCTCAGGTGAGGAAACTGAGGGTCAGGAAGGTCAGAGACTTGTCCAAGTTCACCAACCTGGATCCAAAGTCACTCTTCCAAGCTCCTGCCTGGATTCAACGGTTTCCAGAGTCAAATCTCCAACCAAATTTTCTTTTAGGAGACCTGTGCTCTGGAATTGGGCTGTCACGGCAGAAAAACGGATGGTACAAAGTAGAGCTCTGAGAACCCAGACAAGTTACCATACCTCCCTAGGTCTCCATTTCTCCATCTGTAAAATGGGTCTAATGGTAATACCTACCACGTAAGTTTTCTGGTAACATTCAATGAATTTCACATGATGAGTTTTACATAGTACCTGATGTAGAGTAAATCCTTCCTCATGGTTAGTTATTATCACATGGCTGATGAACAAACAAACAGACCCAAAATTTGATATTTTGATCAAATATCAAAAGACATTTGATACTGTCTGGCCCTGTGATAACAATATCCTTTGCTCCAGGCACCCAAGCTGCTCCTCTAACATTTCTACTCTTAGCACCAACTTCCGAAAGCACAGTCTTCCTGCTGCCAAATCCCAGCAGCTTTTAATAGTGTTATTGGGTTTTTTTAAATCATGGAAATAGTTCCATTTTTATTTAAAAACCTAGATTCCAGCCACACCCTCCCTCCTGCTGCCAGTTTTTAATTTTTTAAACCAAAAGTTTATGTGTCTGTCATTTCCCCCCTGCCCCTGTTCATATATCCCGGAACTCTAGACTGATTAAATTTTGCTAAAATAATCTCAGCTTGAATAAATGGAAGCTACCCAAATTCCCTTTGAATGGAAAAGACATTTGTTAACCTGGTCACGTGGCGTACAAACCCATATCCGCTCTCCATCCACTTGACTTTTCGTTCTTCACTGAAAGGCACAGGCGATCTGCCGGCTTGGGTCTCATAGGGCCAGCAGATGGGGAGGCTGAAGGGGGTTTCTCAGGGGAGCAGCTGGGACAAGGGGCTAAGGAAGTCAGATGACCAGGGCTCTCAGTGGCCAAAGGCAAACTGGATGCGGCTGGCCAAGTCACTTCACATTTTCTGAGTTCCACTTAACTTACCTCAAGAATGAGAGGGTGAAAACCCAGCTTTTTCCTAATATCCCTTTCTAGCTCTAACCTCTAAGCGAGACAAAAATTTGCAACCACCCCACAAGCATCTCGACTAGTCTGGGCCTTATCAGGGCAGTACGTTACATGTCATGATGCAGCCTCAAAAGATAAGCTTCAGCCAAAAGGAGGTGTGCGCCATACGGCAAAGACGCAGCCTCCACTTATTTTAAAAACGGGGTGTGTCAACCTGTCATTTAATTCATGGCAAAACAATAAAATCCAGGTTCACCTTTAATTACCTCATGTTAAAGGAGAGCCAAGCAAGCTCTGGATGAGGGCTGACATATCTGGGCTTCCATCGGATATCCTGCCATGAATTTCTCCCATTCAACAATTCTGCCCAAAACATCTGGAGTGCAGCTAGTACACGACTAGAGTCCCAGCAGGGTTTAGGAGGTGACCCTGTTTTAAGATACCACGTGGATAATCCTGCTATGCTATTTTTCTCCAGTTTCTCCTCTGGCAGACTTTGTTTCATAATTCCGACATCATAACTGGTTCCTCCAATCCAAAATCTTGCATGATGGATAACAAATGAGTAAGAACCCCAGGAATTCAGGGGGAGTCAAGGTGCAGGCAGCAAGAGATACTGTTTTACCACAAAAGCCTTAACAGAGAGTTAAACAAAAAGTTTCCTAAAGCCAAAGATGACCCAAGCTAATACGTAATTCCTTAACTACTCTCATGAGACTAGCTTCCTCCAAAAATGACATTCTGAATCAGATTCAGGGGACTTAAGAAATGCTTAGGTTTTTACCGATTCTTTTCTTTAAGATGTTTGATTTGACGCTTTCTTTCTCTACAAGGCACAGACCCAGGACTAAAGAAGTCATTTTCAAAAGCTATTCACACGAACAGCAAAGAACCTAGAGCATGCCATTCACAAAAGCCACCCAGAGCTGAGGCTCAGAGTGCTTCTGGTTCCTGTAGTTGATTAACCCAGTGCCTTATCACGGTGGGAGGGGAGAGCTGTCCTGCTGCCCCAGGAGAGGGAGAGTGGAGCGGACAGACGGTGAGTCACGGCGTACTTACGTCACTCTTCCTGAACTTGGCTTTCAAGCTCTTCATGTTTAGTCCATTCAGCTTTCCAAAGCTCTAGAGATTTTTCAACACCTAAGCAGAGAATGGAAAACAAAAAATTAAATATTTAGGTTTCCAAATAAACGCTACAGGTATTTCCTCCTGATGAGATTACAACTCTTTGGCCATGGGCCATTGGGGTTGAGTTAGGAAGGTGTTAGGAATTAGAAGCTAAGAAGTGGTAAAGAACATGTTATTTCCACTCATGATATAGTCCCTAGAACCTTCTGACACTCTCACGTGAACCAAAACTTTACATTTTATCCCAACTTCCCAAATGTTAAAAGTAGATCAAGTTTCATGGTGCAAAAGAGAGTATCTGTATGGGGCATGGATTCCTATACATGCTATTCATGTTATAATTATACCATCCGCCTCCTTTTGAAGGGCCACAATAGTAAAGAATGATAAGGAAAACAGTTCATATTCCAGATGCCATTCATTCCCTATTTATTTTTCTCAGCATGGTTTCTTTTTTTTTCCCTCCTAAATGCATGCACAGGGCAGTTAGTAAAAAATGCCAGGAACAACAAAAACCTCCCTCTTCAAATACCTCATCTGCAGGAAGCCATTCTAAACAATGAAAAAAGGTCCCTTCCCCCACCTCCAAGGTCCTCATGGGACCCAGCAATTCCGAGCTGAAGCTGGCAAAGTCTTAAGAAATCACCTCCCTGAGGAGGTCTCTGGTCTCCTGGAGAGTGAGTGTAATTAAAAAAAAAAAATACATATGTACTTTTTTTCAGGGAAGATAGTTCCTAGTTCTCACCATTCTGCAAGGGGTTGTCACCCTTCAAAGTTTAAGATTGTTGATCCAGGCTAAGTCCCTCATGTTCCAGAGGTGCAGTGGAACCTCACTCAAAGAGGTTAGAAAACCTGCCCTCAGTTGACTGCTTTTCCCATTGCCCTACAGGTTCAAAACTAAAACCAAAAAGCAGAATCCTGTGCTAAAATATGATACACACTCTAACTTTTCCACCCTTAAAAACTGGAAAATCACAGAGTGTGGAACCTTTGCATTTGGGTCAAAAGGGCAAGAAAATCTAGGTGCAAGTTCCCAGCACACAGTAAGCACTCAATAAATGTCACTTCGATCCTCACCTGACAAAGTGAGAACAGATGAACTTTAACAGTACGATCAATTTGAACACTAAGGAATAGCACTCCAATGTTTACCATAGCTGGCCAGTAGTTTTCAAAAGCCTTTCAAGGTCATCCCCTGTTCCTCCACCACCTTATTCTGGACTAAACGATAAAGGGGGAAAAATATAAGCAACTAAATGGCTATCCTCATCCCTCCTCATGTCCTCATCCCTGGCTCCAGAAGTCATCCAGCGACTTTCTGGCTTCTATTCTAACGTTTACTTTCATTTTTGCTGTTGTCATTAAACAGGGCTTGGGATAAATGGCGCAAAAACCCAGCACTTCGATGACATTAATCTAGAGGCCACACCATTACTGCAGCCTCACTGGGGTCCTTTTCAATCTTCCCAGCCTGGGCAGGAGTGACCCTGTTACCTTGGAAACCACACATGCTATAATTAGACCTTGTTAATTGCCAAGTATTCAACCACAGGCTGGGCTGGTACCTGAACAGTGAAGTGCAAACTCCTGGACAGCTTCTTACCATTGGCTGCTAGTTATTAATCTGAATCAGAAGGACCTGGGGACAGTTTGCTAAATGCAAAATCCTAGCCCATATCCGTTGTTTCCACAGGAAACAGGAGCGTCTCCGTGGCTGGATCTTTCGCGCACTGAGGCTTGAGAATCTTGAAGTGAGGTAGATGAGGCGGGGAATCCAACTGTCAAAGTCGTGCTGGACTATTCAAGAGCCCTTTTTCATGTCAAAGCAAACCACCTTTTGATGAATCCAAGTAGAAATAATGATAATCAGATAATCCCAAACTGCCACTGGTTCCTGGTTCTCCATGAAAATGACAGCCAGCCTTTGAATTCAATTCCTTCCACCTTCGGGTGAAGTGCCAACAACCAAGGAAAGCAGCCCAATCCATAGAACAGGAAAGGGAGAAAAGAGAAGCCAAGGCTTTCATAGTCCACCAACCGTGTAGCCCACGAAGAGGGAACCACCCACAGCATCCCTTCTGTTGTAGAACACAACGGCTTAGGCAATGGTGGGTAAGAAGTTTATTCGCGATCATGGGGGTTTTTGTGGGTGTTGTGCTTCTTCTTGTGTGCTTGTCTTTGGTTTTTTTTTTGTTGTTTTTTTTTTTAAATTATGGCAGTGAGAACATGCAACCTCTTATTTGAAGATTAAGTAGATAAAGCACTTAATTCCAAAAATTCCCAGGGGCAGATATTAGCTGTGAAATGAAGGTCTTCCTGGAGTCACGGGTCTGGGTGTGTGATAGCTGGGTGGTCCATGGGTACAACTCCCAGATGACAGAGACAGGGGTCAAGGGTAAAGAGGTTCTGGAAACCTACAGAGTAGTAATTTTAGAAACAAGAACTACAGCTGGGAGGTAATTAAAATTAGTAGTAGGTCACTGTTTTCCTGATATTCACAGAAGGATCTAACACCTGGAAGTCATGCCGAATGGGGAGCAAGCTGCCCCTGACATGATGCTGGGTTCTGTGTGCTCCAGCATCTTCTCTTCCCCAAGATGACCCACAGGTAAATCAGGGACTTGCCTTCTTTGGGTCTGCTGGAATCTCACAGCTCCAATTCCCAAATCTAAACTTCCAAAGCCCAGATTGGGCTACAGCCTATCTTGAGGACAAGTGACATCTATCAGTAAATCTAGGCTACACGGACAGCAGTCCTTGGACAAGCCACTTAAGACAACTTAGTTCAAAAGAGCTGCAGTGAAGGTGAATTCGCTGTGCACCAGCCTAAACTGGATCATACAGAAAGAGGGGGAAGGGTTACACATATATGGGAAAAGTTGTAAGGACTCCCATTTCAAGAGTAAAGCACATCTACCCACTGAGCAGGAATATTAGTTTACTAATATTTGCCTGCTGGATCCAGAAGTCGTCACTGGGGGCGCCTAGGTGGCTCAGTTACGCATCCAACTCTTGATTTCAGGTCAGCTCATGATCTCAGGGTCATGAGATCAAGCCCCATATTGGGCTCCATGCTCAGCAGGGAGTCTGCTTGAAGATTCTCTCCCTCTGCCCCTCCCCCTGCTCGTGTGCTCTCTCTCTCTAAAATAAATAAAATCTTAAAAAAAAAAAAAAAGACATAAGTCACTGAAACACGGCTTCCATTGCTGGTCACCAGTCATCATGTGACATCAAGTCAAACAGTGAGGACACAACAGTGCGGAGATGCATGTCCTTGTTGCCATCTCACTGAAAGGCCAGGTCCCAAAAACAAGCTTATTAATCCATTTTCCCTTTAAAAATAATGTAACTCTCAATCAAAGCTAAGAAGGAGCTAACCTCTATCTGCTATAATTCTAGCCTGAATCAAAAAACCTTGATATTAGCCTGTATAGCTTTATTATGAATGTTAGACTTCTCTGCGTATTAAAAATAACTTATAACAAATACGGGGTTTCCTTTGGGGAGAGGAAATCTAAATCTATCATCACGATGGCCCCACAACCTGAACATATCAAAACTATTCAAACGTACACTTCAAGTGGGTAAACTGAAAAGAATGAGTTACATTTCAACAAAGCGCTATATTTCAACACACACACACATATGCATATATACATGATCTCCACTACCTTCTCTAATCCTTCCAGTTAGGAAAATTCCAGGTTAGAAATCTCTGGACCAAACTGAAAAAAAACTTCAAAGGAACAAAGGTTAGCAAGCAATGCCCTTAACACTAAAATGTGGTTGCTCCTAGATTTTCTTTAGCTATTTCCCTACCACAACCCACCCAATTGAAGTGGTTAGAAAAAAGTTCCTCTATCTTCAAGTTACGCGTACTCCCATCCACTCCCACCCCCACGTAGAACCCAAGGATGACTTCATGAGGCGATGTTGCCAATTCTGTCAGCCTAGGAGAGTCCTCTTGGAGCAGACAGGTATTCTGATTCCGTAATCAGAAGTGGGGCTCGGAAATCTGTAATTTAAAAAAAAAAAAACAAAAAAAAAACTCCTCGGGTGATTTGGATGCTCAACTCGATTGGGGAAAAACTGTTCTAGACTCAGTGATATTAGACCTATAATTGACACTTTCACTAGAGACACTGTACAAGTAGGTAGGATAGATCATTATCTTCAAGCATCAGACGAGCTTGCATCTTTCACAACACTGGGGTATGCAGCAGTGGGGGGTGGGGGGAGGGGGGAAGGGAGCCCTCCACACTGGAAATTCTAGGAGAGCAACTAGCTGGCTCCCCGTGGCCACTAGGAGCAATATTAACTCACTAAGGCAAACGGCAGCTGTGCACACATGTCCATCTTCCTGCATCACAAGAACACATTCGCATCTAGGACACCAGACCACAGGATGCAAGAGCAGTGGTTTACGATCAGTCCCTCCGAATCACCTCAGCAATGAGAGGAGCAGAATAAAAAACAGTGTCCTCTGCCTAATGACTCCTCCCATCATGGAATGTGGAACGCTTCTACACCAGTACAGCAACACTAAGCCTCCAAGACAGGCTTCAGGGTTTGGCTTGGTTTGGCTTTTTGAGAAAAATCAGGCTTAAAATCCAAAGCACTGAACAAGACCTTGAACAAATGTAAGGAACTAAAATTAAAATGCTGCTCTCCTCGCCGGCACCTACCTGTTCTCCCTCAAGTATTTGTTTCCTCAGACGATAATCTCTCTGCAACAAAGATGGAATTTTAACCAAAAGCTGTATAAACACTCAATTGTCTCCATCTGGCAAAACAAATACATTCTGTAACAGCTCTCTCCAGGTCAACTTTCCCAATGAGTTGCCCCTGACAACACAGCACCTCATGCCCCCCAAACTGCTCCCCGGGTCAGAAGCTGCTTGAAGTCCCTGCCTGTGCCTATGACTATGTCATGGCTTCTGGAATAAAGAACATCAGATGGGAACCAGACGCCAATAAGTACCGTTTCCCCCCCCACCTGATTTCATCCACAG